TATAGCTGAGAACTAAACTTTAAATACACTTGTAAAGACCATACATGTCATGGCAGTCTGAAGTTTCCAATGACTCCTGTCGCTCTTATCTTTTTAAGATGGAATCACTGAAATACAAAAAGCAATCATTCTGTCAGCAAAGGATTTTGGATTGTCTTCTGTTTATATGACAAAATCTGCCGTGTCAAAACTATATATACAGTCACTTGAATTATCAGTTTTGGTGATGAAAAAGCGCCGTTACTGACGTTTTCTCTGTGCTATGGCCTCTTAACCTTGACTACAGCTGATGACTTCTGTGAACTTAAATAAGGCCCATTTAATACACTTAGCAGACTTATTCAAGTCAAATCTTTGACTTGAACAAGTCTGAAAAGTCACAGGAAACCATTTCAAAGCACCTAGAGATCACTAAATCTGTGCAAATAATTATTTGTGAGTATAAACTGCATGACACAGCTGTGTCACTGTCATGATCAGAAAGAAAACACAAGCTATCACCTGATGCTGAGAGACAATTAGTCAAGATGATCAAGAGTCAAAAAGTAATCTCCTACAAGAAGGTCTGCAGTGAATCAGAAGCAGCTGGAACACAGGCGTCAGTGTCCACAGTGATGTATGTCCTCCATCGCCATGGAGAGGCTGCCATATAAGATGACAGGCCTTCCTCCAGGAGACACACCTCAAGGTTTGACTGCTAATCACACGGTCATAGAAAGTCCTTCCAGAGGAACGTTCTCTGTTCAGATGAAACAAAAGTTGAGCTATTTGGCCACAATGACTGGAAATATGTTTGGAGGAGAGAAAGTGTGCCTTTGACTCAGAGAACACCAAACCTACTGTCAAGCATTGTGGTGGTGGTGTGATGCTGTGGGGCTGCTTTGCTCATCATGTTTAAAACTTGCATCACTACTATATGTATATACATGTACAAATAATCCTGTCATTCCAAAGTGAAGAAAATTAAAGTCTCTCAGTGTCTCCACACTGAGGTCTTCACCATTCCTGATGTTGTAGTTGTTGTGGTACATACAGTAGTAACAAGTTCCAGCTGTTGACAATAGCGCTGTTCGGTCTGCACCAGCTCTCTGGCCGTTCGACTGCGCTGTCTCTCCCAGCGTTCTCTCTGCTCCTGGATGCTGCTGCCAAGGGGACCGAACGGACGTGTGAAGACACTCATAGTCACCGTGGCAGGAAAAACACTGCAGAAACAAGTAACCAGACAAAGTCAGCTACACAGACAGGCATCACACTGTAACATGTGCAAACTTTCTATTCAGGTCTATCCTAAAAAACCCAACATGCCAAGATGTACAGTTAAAGAGATATCACTGGAATAGCTTCTCTTGCTAATACCGGTTAAAAACTGTTTCCTTCTGCCTCTGTGAGTTGTGTTTTCATGCTGAGTTGAGTAAAACAAAGCAGCAATTTGGCAATCAAAGCATTTTAACTTGAAAAAAAATACCGATATGATTTTGCTGTTCCATTTGTCAGATTTATTTTGTGGATTATTTACACTGAAAAGATGTTAAAATAGGATTTCTGTGTAGTCAGTATCAACAGGAGGAACAATAACAAGTGTTTTAGTAATAAACGCTTCAAGAAATGTAAGCATATCCTTAGGCTGTTAAACACTGACATAAATTTGCAATAAAGTGTTTATAGTAATTGAAATCAATGTCATAGTGTTTTTACAGTGAAATGTATATGGACGCCCACGACACTGCAAACACTGCTAAAAATGAACACTGCACAAAAATTTAAAAATAAAGGCAATAAGTGGTGAAAATAAAACTACGATTGCAACTTTCTGTGTTTAAAAAAAAAAAGAAAAAAGAAAGAAAACGTTATAAATGTCTTCCATGTAGGGCAGGGTGATCTGGCCAAAAATATTTATCACGATATAAATGAGAAAATTTGCGATAACGATATAACTGACGCTGGACAAAATACTTCAAAACTGCACAACTTTATTGGTGCAAATAAAAAAAAGAACAATTTCTTTTCCATTTAGCGGCGGGCAAATATTCGGGTCTCAAAATTGCTATCTGGACACCACCACAACGACCGAATACGCTGATATTTGGGTCCAGCCCAACTGTGTCAGTCGATGCACTGCATTCGACCTCCTCCTCGGACGCCGTCATGCTTCTCGCTCCATGTGCATTAGACCGGACGAAAACAACGGCACTATGCGTTTCACTCAAATATTATCGCGATATTTCAATTTCACATTACACCGGTATTACCGTGCACTGTATGATAATTAATTAATATAATAATATAAATAATTGAATTTCCCTTCTGGATAAATAAAGAATTTTTCATTTCATTTCATTTCATGATGTGGCCCAGCCCTACTTCCATGTGAGACACATCTGAACATGTGCATGTTACATCCATCATGTCTCTCACTTCTACAGGACAGCTTCCAGCCCCAAAAGCTAACAGACGCAACAATCACGCCACATGATGATTACACAGCATATTATGGTCCCTTCTTCCTGCTGTGAGGCTACAGTGGAAATACACGTTATCACCAAAGACAAGTCTGAGAACAGATGTCAGCAAGTTTAGTTTCCTAACCTTGTCCCTGTTGGACACTTTACACGAGCTGATTGACCCAATCAGAGCCAAACATTGTCCAACTGTTGTTTTGAATCTTACCTCTCATTACATTTATGGTGGATAAATATTAGATTTTTTATTTAAAAGTCCAGCATTTAACACAGTAAAGGAAAACAGACAAAAAACTTCAGAGGATGAATTAGCCTGTACAGAGAACTAATTAGATGGACTATAAATATTTTTTGTCATTCGTGAAACATAAACATAAACTATTGGCGATTATGAAGATTTGCTAAATCATTTCACATTTGGATGCTGGACAATCTAAAGACATGGTAAAGTTTGACGAGCGTTGTCTTCTTTGACAACAATCAGCAGATCTTACAAATGGTATTTAATAGCCGCTATCTGCAATTTCCAAAACAACTGATGACAGCAGCCCTCAAACACTGGTCCGCGGTGCTCGTCACCCACACAGCTCCATCTCTAACTCAGAGGTTCTCAAACTTCTTGAACCACGACCCCCAAGACAATAGAACTTTGTGTTCATGATCCCCAATTAGAATTCTTAATATATCATGAGTAATAACGCCGTTGTTCATGCATTAATGTGTTAAAAATGAATGTGTTAACTCCACAGATTAATCTCTTTACATTAACACGTTGATTTTCATTGGAATGAATGAATGAATTGAATTTATTTCAAACACATGAAAGGGGAAAAAAATATAAAAACAAAAGAAAATAATTTTAAAAAGAGCAAAAAAGAACAATATCACACAATCAAATCATAATATTAACAAGTTCAAAAAAGTAGTGGGAACAAGTACACACTTCATTTTGACAGCCCTAATACAAAATTATTGATAAATGTAGGCTTTATTTTTTTATTTTTACAATGATCTGGTGACCTCCTGAAATTATATTGGGACCCTCATGGGGGTCCCGACCCCCAGTTTGAGAACCACTGCTCTAACTGACTGACAGAACTAGTAAAACACAAGATAAATCATTCTTAAAACAAATGTCTCAGTCAGGCATTAAGCCTCTAACATCTATGAATCAAAGCTGCATCACATTTACATCCCACCGTGACGTCGCTATGAGACGCTCAGAAGCCTTAAAGTTTATTGTGCTGCTACACGGTGGTATTTAGTGTTATAGTGTCATGAATCCACCACGTAAGACTGAAAGAACTAGGCACACAAACAGTCTAAAGCAAGTAACAGAGCGGAAGCTTTAATCTACTGGGATTTCGAGTAGATATTTTCACTTCCTGAATGATTTATAAAAGGGAGCCTTTTCCCTTCTGTTCGTATCTGTCAATATGAAACTGTTAGGAGGAGGCGACACACAACTTTATCAAAACTTTAACAACAACAATTGTTCCTGGTTACAGTAGCGCGATTTCGCGTGAGAAATACACTGCTATATAAACATGAAACGTGTTTACCTGGTTTGTTTACCGTGAGTGGATCTTCACGTCTTTGAGTTAAGGCGCTCTTTTCAGGGCGGAGGTTTCTCCTTCCGGGTTGCGACGGTGAGGCGCACGCTGATTGGCTGCTCCGTGCGCTCAGCTGCGCTGATGCTGGATCAGTTCACCCCGAGCCCCGCCCCCCTGCCTTCACTTTCGCTGCAACACATTCAGTGGCACGCGCGCTTTTTCTGACATTTAGGCTAAAAATACTGGAATAGCCCAACACATGCTGCATGTATGTGTGCCTTGTACATGTATATGGCATTTAAACCTTGCAGTGTCGCAGTCAAAACATGCCTGGTGGGAACACTCTCATTCACACTCACACTGACGGTTATGAAACATCAAAACTCAGATAAGCTGATGTCTGGGTGAGCATAGCCACAGCTACCAAGAAGAAAAGCGACACTACATGTGAGAATAACAGTCTGAGGCTACACCTAACAATGGCCTTTTTTATTTATTTATTTTTTAATCTATTATTGTAGTGACTGTTTTTTGTTAGTCATTTAATGTATTGACAAATTTAAGCAATTCCATCCATCCATCCATCATCTATACACCGCTTAATCCTCACTAGGGTCATGGGGGGCTGGAGTCTATCCCAGCTGACTCAGGGTGAAGGCAGGTTCACCTGGACAGGTAACCAGTCTATCACAGGGCTACACTTAGAGACAGACAACCAAGCACACTCACATTCACACCTACGGACAATTTAGAATCACCAATTAACCTCAACATGTTTTTAGACTGTGGGAGGAAGCCGGAGAACCCGGAGAGAACCCACGCTGCACGGGGAGAACATGGAGACTCCACGCAGAAAGATTCCGGTGCCCCCACCAGGACTTGAACCAGCGACCTTCTTGCTGCGACGCAACAGTGTTAAGCAACTGCAGTCCTAATTTAAGCAATTATTTGAAATATTATTTTATTACTCAATTTAACATGACACATACCAAATAAATATCAAAGAGTTGTCTCATTAATATGCCAGTATTTTTTCAAATCATCATAATTTCCACGTCACTGCTGTGTTATAATAATAATAATGATAATATATGAACTGTTTCTCACATGCGTGACCAAAACAATACTGGTCCTCACATTCAGTTTAATTATCATTTATTCATCCTCATGGATAAATATGGCAGCCATGGCAGGAGGACACCTACGCAAGCATGAGGTGGACATGCAGACTTCACACACAAAGTCTTTGGTCTGGGCTCAACCCAGGACCTCCTTCCTGTTGAGCAGCAGTGCCTTCCACTGGGTCACTGTTAAGGATTCAGAAGGACTGATGTGACACATATATTGATTTAATCACTGTGTATCATAGCAACCCTTTCTCTGAATTAGAGAATTGGGATTTTTTTCTAACTACCTGACATAAAACGTACAATGGTTATGATACAGATGAAATGATACAGACTGATGTTAGTTTAAGCCATTTTCTCACTCATACATGGTCCCTGCAGTAAACAGAAAATACATAACAGCCAAAAAACAGCGTGAAGTGATGCGTGGTGTAACGGTACAGCAGCAATGCAGAAAGTACTTTTTACATGGGTGCAGTGAAGAAACATTTCAAAAACAAATTTTAAATGATCCTACTGACAGAACTTGTTCCGTGTGTTATTAATCCTAACAGGCTGTAGCGTACGTGGCTGGACACACAGGACAATGCTGTCTGTCGCTGCCACGTCTCAGACAGCAGACGTACTGGTGCAATCAGCTGTTTTCAGTGTGTAGTGCGTAAGGAGCACCACGTTGTTGATTCTCTGTCTAAACTAGTCCCACACTTTGGACAAACATAGGCAAGGTGGTTTTTGTTTTTATTTTTATTTTTCCTTTATTTAACCAGGTAGGTTAATTGAGAACAGATTCTCATTTACTATAACGACCTGGCCAAGAGGCAGCACAGAGCAGAAAATACAATACATCCATAAACAACAATACACAAACAAAACGTAACAATAAAAGGCTTTGAAGATAAAATACACTTAAAGCAGGTACAGGACTCGGTAAATAGTTGCTTCACCATATTTTTAAAAGAAGATAAAGATATAAATACATTGAGTTTAAGTGTTTTTTTGTAAGTGGTTCCAGTCGAGGGCTGCAGAAAACTGAAATGAATAGCGGCCAAAGACAGTGCGGGCTTTGGGGATGAGGAGGTGGATGAGGTTGCTGCTGCGAAGTGAGCGTCTGATGTGACGGGTGATGAGTAGTGAACGTAGGTAGTTTGACCTATGATAGTTTTATACTGTTTAACTACTGCTTGTGAGAATCTTTAAACCAGGGGAGCCCCTACAGTTCTGTGTGACCTGGAGGTCTGCTAATCCAGCTCTAGCTCTTCATCAGGCCTGTAAATGCAGCCTGCAATGAATCAGTAATACAAACGCTTATTGTATGCTTGAGATTAAAACTGTTGAATTAACATTTGGTTGCATGTATGTTAATTTGGTTTTGTGACATCGTTTTAGTCGACGTTACTGATCACACATGCGGTTGGACTGTTTCAGTTAAACATACAAGTGAGCTGGTAATATGTAGTGAAGGATGTTGCACTGTCTGATAGAAGAGTGGCTCCAAAGAAAGGACAGCTAAGCAGTTTGCATCTCATTATGAGATAAAAGTGATGCCCTCTGTAATCAGACCACAAGGCTTGAGGCTATAGAATAAAATTCATGAGTACTGAAGATTCAGAAACTCAGATGCCCTTTTTCTGCTTGTATCCCAAGCAGCAGTTTGGGTTTTGTGCAGCTCCACAGAGCAGCGAGAACACTGACATCTAGTGCTGATAGAGGCCAAGTCCTGCTACAAGACAGGACAGAAGTCAGGACACAGGAACAGCTGAGAAACCAACAGCCAGCAGCTCTGGACACGTAGTACCAGACAACTAATGGAGTCTCAGCAGTTTCAAGTTCTTTCAAATAAAAATACAGATTTGGACGTGTTTCATCAATTTGACAGTTTTTACTGTATAAATAACAAAGGCCACTCACACTGTTATGGGTTGATTATTAAATAGAAAATAATGTTTTTCAACTGATGTGAGAATCGGGCCTTTGTTTCTCCCGTGTTTGAAAGCATGTTTGATGTACAAAAAATGAAGTGAGTGTCAGTTCTAGTCTGGATTGATTTGGACAAGAGGCCTGCACCACAGCAAACATTTCAGTTCCAGATAGACAATCACCTTCCGTCGACAAATAAGTGATTGTATTTTTACTCTTTCAGACTCTGACAAACACAGTTTGATTTCTTGTCCAGGATTGAAGGACATAAAACAAAACTCTTTGGGTGGACAGGAGTGGCATGTATTTGGGATTAGACATTTTGCAGTCCTAGTCTTAAATAACCTGTAGCTGTTAAACTGAGTGCATGCTTTTCTTACTAGTCATGTAGTTCCATGTCCTCATAGCCAGAATGTGAACGCTGGTAAACACTGCAATAAAACTGGGATGATAGCAGATAAACTTAAAGGCAATGTCACAGTGGTTTACTGTTTTTATCAGTGATAATATTTGACATTATATGAATAGCTTGTCAATACAAAGCGATGTTTTTCAAAACAGTCTTCTATTAGCTACCTGTTTACTTGCCACATAATTTAAATATGGAAATTCTAAGAAGTCAGATTTTATGTGTAGTGTCCAGTACTGTTGTGCTGCAAGTACATGATTCATCTCACATGGTAAATACATTTAGTCCAGATATACAGACGTTCACTGAGCCACTAGTTTGGTAAACACTC